ATAAAAAGTTGTTCATTCAAAGTCACCATAGTATGTAGGCTGAACTTTCTTTAGAGTGTCCTCCCTACATACAACAGCAAGCGTTCTATAAGTTTAGCATTGGGAGAAGAACGGTACAGGAACTACTTAGGCCATATCCTCATCAACATCATCTTCTTCATCCTCATCATCGTCACTATCACTAGATAAGTCGAGAGCATCTACAGGCTTGGGGTGTTCTACTTCCATGGCTGCAGCTTTCCCCTTCTTGCTAGGTTCTCCTGGGGTGGAAATGGGGGAGTTTGAAAAAGGCTTCCTCTGCTTGTAGTTTCTCCAGATGTCCACCACCTCGTCAAACACCGGCTCGTACGGCATCAGAGACAAGCACATCAAGTCGCCCAGTCTTGCATCCTTCAGCCCACCTCGAAGCCACGACTTGATGACGTTTTGGCGCGAGAAGCCCCTTCGCACTCAACAATGCTAAGGGGTATCACCGAAACCGCCACCCACATCTGCACGAGGTTGGGGTAGCTCTCGCGCCAGTCTGGAGTCTTCAGGATCGCGGTGAGGCCCTCGTGGAACGTCCTCTCCTCCTTTGGTGCAGCAGCAAGGACAGAGCAGAACAACCGAAGCTCCTTCTGTGCCTGTCGCTTGTTGATTTCTGAAAGGGTAACAGTGGGTTTAGGAAGGGGCAAACAAGGCAGCACGGGTTACTTGGCTGAGTGTGAAACCGTTGCACTAGGAAATGGGCAAACGGCAGTTACCAGAGGTAGAGCAATTGGGATGAACGTTGGTTACTTTACCTGGTAGAATCTCCTCCGAATCTTGACCCTTGAACAGCGTCACCAGCGACAGCAACCACTCCAGACATCGTGCATGTCGCTCCGGCTTGCCCTTCGGCCACTCATCACGCATGAACAGCCTGACACCAGACAGCGAGTCCAGGTCACCCAGCCTCGTCTCCAGGTTCGCCACGATGTGTTCAGCAAAGTCGGTGCAGAGGTCAACGCATCTGTCGTGATCCTCAGGGCCGTCATACCCGTCCACGGGGTTGTCGTGGAGCGTGAAGGTGATTTTCTCGGGTCGGCCGTCAGAGTCAACTCCCTCCACAGTCATGTCGCGATTCTTTCCAGGACCATAACGCTCGATAAAGGGAGAGAGCCAGTGGCTCAAGCCACCGCCGAAGTCGTCCCCACAGTCGACGTATCGACTCTCGAGGTGTGAGGTCGTGTGCTTGATCTGAGCATGAAGAGAGATGAGATCCAACTGCCAACGGGAGAAAGGGGAGGAAACATTGTCAGTATGGTGCGCACCCACGCGCAGCAGAGGAGAATTCGTGGCACAGCGAGAGCTTCTAGAGAAAAAGCGGACCTTGCGAGTGGGAGGTGACTATTGAGACGTCTCAGAAGGCGCAGCAAGAGCTTCTAGGGAAAAAACGGAGCTTGCGAGTGGGAGGCGCGACAGCACAGGGGTGAGTGCAGTGCAGGGCGAGACAAGGGTGAGAGAGGGGTGGGTGCCGGGTGGGGGGTAGAGAGGGTAGTAGGAGGTGGGGGAGGAGGATGAAGAGGATGAGTGGGATGGACGGTGCAGCAGACGGCGCCGCGAGAGCCACTGGGGAAAAGCGGACCTTGCGAGTGGGAGGTGCGACAGTACAGGGGTGAGTGCAGGGCGAGACAAGGGTGAGAGAGGGGTGGGTGGGATAGAGACGGAAAGGAGGAGGCGGGGGAGGAGGATGAGTTTGAGGAGGTGGAGCAGAGGTAATGGGTTCAGGTGGTATTGTGTTCGGTTGTGTTAGGTGAGTCTTCGCTGCTGCTATTCTGTCTGTCACCCAGTCGCTTCAGGTTCCACTACCTCTGGTTCAAGTGGGTAGCGTTCGAGAATTCTCTGAAGCGCGTTTGAGAATTCGCAAAATTCACCCAGTGGCTTCGTGTTCCACTGTCTCTGGTTTCAGGTGGGTAGTTTAATGCCTTTGTTTGGGTTACCTGTGGTTGTCCCTCGGGTGGGTTTTCTGTGGCTTCAGGAGGGTTGTCTATAGCGTCAAGTGGGTTTTTGTGGCTTCAGGTGGGATCTTCGTGGCTTCAGGTGGACCCTCAACTCTTTCAGGTGGCAACTCCACCGTTCCTGGCATTGGCAAGAGCGTACCTGTCGTTCTGAAACAGAGCTTTTCACGCACCCATGCTTGTTCCTGAACTGAGGCGCCTTGGTATTGAGACGTCCCAAGCACCCTTGGTATTGAGACGTCTCAAAAGTCGTTCTGAAACAGGACTCTTCAAGCACCCACAGTTGTTAAGCTGACACGCCTCAGCGAAAAAACTGAGGCGAGTAGATTAGGAAACGCACCCACATTTGCTCGTTCTTTCGTGAAGTTGGCCCCTGGAGCCATGCACCCACCCACGTGATAAAAGCTGGGCTTTGATTTGAGATATGCAGCCATGAAGCTGGGCTTTGATTTGAGATATGCAGCCATGAAGCTGGGCTTTGATTTGAGATATGCAGCCATGAAGCTGGGCTTTGATTTGAGATATGCAGCCATGAAGCTGGGTCTCAGAACCCAACTTTGATCAAGTTGGCCCCTGGAGCCATGCACCCATCATCCTGGGCGCACCCATCATCCTGAGCGCACCCATCATCCTGAGCGCACCCATCATCCTGAGCGCACCCATCATCCTGAGCGCACCCATCATCCTGAGCGCACCCATCATCCTGAGCGCACCCATCATCCTGAGCGCACCCATCATCCTGAGCGCACCCATCATCCTGAGCGCACCCATCATCCTGAGCGCACCCATCATCCTGAGCGCACCCATCATCCTGAGTGCACCCATCATCCTGAGCGCACCCATCATCCTGAGCGCACCCATCATCCTGAGCGCACCCATCATCCTGAGCGCTCCCATCATCCTGAGCGCTCCCATTTTTCTCTCCGAGCAGAGTTGGATCCCAAGTCAATCGGAGCTAAGGAACAGCCACTCACGGAGAGAGAGGCTGGCACAAAGATTCTCCAACCTCTCCATTGATTCACTGAAGTGGCTCTCATAGAGAGAGTATTGAAATGCTGGCTGATGGTTGGATTCTGTTGAGAATCCGCCTTCGGTTGCGGAAGGGAGGAGGGCGGAGAGGGAAGCTCGGAAGGACTTGGAATCTAACTTTGCTTGGAGAGAAAAATGGGTGCTAAAAAGGGATGGTGAGGCGTCTGAAAGTCGAAGGGCAGTGATGATGATGATCTTCTGAATCCCCTCGATACAGACGTCTCTGACATGGGTGTTTCAATGGTGCTGCATGCTACATGGAGAGTGGATGTTGAAGTGTCTCAGGTCGAAGGGCAGTGATGGTGAGCGTCTGAGTCCTCTCGATACAGATGTCTCTGAGATGGGTGTTAACGCTGTGCTGCATGCATGCTGCATAAGGTTTTTGAATGTACCCAAACACACCCTGAGCCTCTTGGTTTTCGTGTGTGTCTCACTAGTGCTGCATTCTGCATACAATGCTGATGTCGTGTTGGCGAATTACACCTTGCATGTCAGGTTCGATAAAGGTTCAGTAACTTCTTGAAGTGTCTCACTGGTGCTGCATTCTGTCTCACGAGAATGCAGATGGTCACTGGATCCAGGCAAGGTTTTGGCGTATCTAGGGCATTAAACCTTGTGTGTCGGGTTCGGGATTTGTGTTGGTGGGGAATGACGTTTTTTTAACATTCTGAAAAAAAACAGGTCTTGGCGTATCTAGGGCATTAAACCTCGTGCGTCAGGTTCGGGTTTGGTGTGGGTGGGGAATGATGCCACAGGTGAGATGTGCAGTGCACGTGTGTTGAGTAGGCGTTCCTCACTCAAAAGGGCATGTTCGTTGTAAGCCAGGTTCAACCTTGTGTATCTAGGGCATTAAACCTTGTGTGTCAGGTTCGGGTTTGGTGTGGGTGGGGAATGATGTGCTGTGCACCTGTGTTGTGTTGCCTTGGTGTCTGCTGACTCAAACGGCATGTCCTTTGGTAATCACAGAACCTTCTGACTTTTGAGTCGTCTCAAAAGTCACCTCGTGTGTTGCCTTGGTGTTTGCTGACTCAAACGGCATGTTTTTTGGACCTTCTCATTGAACCTTCTCGTGAACCGTTCAAACGCACTGTTGAGGCGACTCAGAAGGTATGTCCTTTGGTATTCATTGAACCTTATGACTTTTGAGTCGACTCAAAAGTCACCTCGTGTGTTGCTTGGGCGTTGCTGACTCAAAAGGAATGTCCGTTGGTAGTCATTGAACGTTCTCGTGAACCATACAAACGCACTTAAATCCCTGTGAGTCATCGATTCCGCATGCTTAACCAGCATGCAACTCATTCCATCCAGCACCCTTGAGAATTCACAAAAGTGCACACAGCCAATTCTTTAGGCACCTCAACAATAGCCAGCATGCAACTCATTCCAGCACTCTTGAGAATTCACAAAAGTGCACACAGCCAATTCTTTAGGCACCTCAACAATAGCCAGCATGCAACTCATTCCATCCAGCACTCTTGAGAATTCACAAAAGTGCACACAGCCAATTCTTTAGGCACCTCAACAATAGCCAGCATGCAACTCATTCCATCCAGCACTCTTGAGAATTCACAAAAGTGCACACAGCCAATTCTTTAGGCACCTCAACAATAGCCAGCATGCAACTCATTCCATCCAGCACTCTTGAGAATTCACAAAAGTGCACACAGCCAATTCTTTAGGCACCTCAACAATAGCCAGCATGCAACTCATTCTATCCAGCACTCTTGAGAATTCACAAAAGTGCACACAGCCAATTCTTTAGGCACCTCAACAATAGCCAGCATGCAACTCATTCCATCCAGCACTCTTGAGAATTCACAAAAGTGCACACAGCCAATTCTTTAGGCATCTCAACAATAGCCAGCATGCAACTCATTCCATCCAGCACTCCATGCGCTGCGCACAGCCAGCCAGCCAGCCATACTCCCACTCTTACTTTTCACCTCTCCCTCTGACTTTTGAGTCGACTCAAAAGCCACATGCTTGGCCAGGATGCAACTCATTCCATTCCGACCACCACTCCATGCACTGCGCACAGCCAGCCAGCCATACTCCCTTCTTTCACCTCTCCCTTTCCACCTCCCTCTTCCCTCCACCTCTTTTCTCACATCTCCCTCCCCTCCTGTCTTTAAACTCCTTCCAACCAGCACTCCATGCGCTGCACACAGCCAGCCAGCCATACTCCCACTCTTCTTTTTCACCTCTCCCTCTCCACCTCCCTCTTCCCTCCACCCTCTCTCTCCCCCTATCCCCTCCCCTCCTGACTTCATCCATACCCTCCCAGGTGCGCTGGTCACCCATCATCGCCTGCTGCTCACCCAAAAGGACCTCATTATCATGGTCAGCCGGAGCAAGCACATTGGCACATTCACAATGTCGTCACCTGATGCTCACCCAAAGAGAGCACTGCAGCAAGCTCATGGCTGTTCACTTAGAGAGAGAGAGAGAGAGAGAGAGAGAGAGAGAGAGAGAGAGAGAGAGAGAGAGAGAGAGAGAGAGAGAGAGAGAGAGAGAGAGACCGGGCAGGAGCTCCTCTCCAAGCATATCAATCAGGACCGGGCAGCGGAACTATTGGGCGATACTCGGGTGGATAAACCGGGGGAGGATAATGGCCATGTAATCCGCTTGATCAGCCTGCAGGGAGTAGGGGCAGGGGATTGGCTACACGCCATCCCTACGAGAGGGGACCTGACGTTTTCGCCGGGCCAATATGCAATAGCCCTGGGCTTTCGCTTGGGGCTGACCCTGCCAGTGACAGACACGTGCCCGTGCCACGGTGAATGGTTTTGAGACGTCTCAAAACCCTCCTTCAATCCCTGCCAGTGACAGACACGTGCCCGTGCCACGGTGAACGATCGCATATACATGACCGGAGCCTCCCCAACCACCTGCTGAGGTGCGCGGAAGGAAAAGACAGGACAAACACGCACAATTCCCTGGTGTATGCGGCACTGCGAATGGCGCGCGAAGCGGATTACATGACTTTGCATGAGACCACTGTCTACTCGCAACCCGTCAATCCTAAGCGAGCGGACCTGGCTATCAAAGACCGGGAGTCTGCTGAAACGTTCGTCACAGACGTCACCGTCACTGATCCGGTGCTGCAGCGGCGTGATATAGGGGCCACCAGGGGACCGGGCTGGGCGGCAGAGGAGGCAGCAAGGACGAAAAGGGGGCTGTACGAGGGGCGCCCGGACTTCGTAGGGGTATTCGGGCTGGCGGTGGAAACGTATGGGGCCTTAGCGCAGGACACCCAGAGGTTCCTTCGTCTCCTTGGCACGCAGGCGGCAAAGAAAAAGCACAGGCAGGGGAGGCTCACCTCGGTAGCCTCCAAGCTGACTGCGCATTACCGACAACGCTGGTCGGTGATGCTGCAGCGCAGCCAGGCGAACGCCCTGCTGGCCAAGTCCAACAGGGCGACGGAGAGGGCCTTCCCCCAGGCCCCAGCAGACCCGTGGGAACCCAGCCTCGGGGACCACTGGCAGGTCCTTGATGGGCTGGACTGGGGGCCGGCCCTGGATGGGTGAGGGGAGAAGGAGGGGCTGGAGCGAGAGGAGGCTCCAGGCCGCGGTAAAGGGGCTCGGGGCACTGGGTAGGCCCCTCGGTTGCGCTGGCCAGCCATTGGGCAGACCTTACAGGAGGGTGTTGGCTTGGTCTGATCACAGTTTGGATCGCATGGTTGCAGGCTAGCCGGCCAAATACCTAGACACTGTTTGCTTAATACCAAGATAATACCTCTTGCATGCCTAGGGTTTGCTTGCTAAAATCTTGCACATGCCTTGCTTGTACCCTGTACACACATCAATGAAGGACCGCTTGAGAGAGAGAGCACTGCAGCAAGCTCATCTGATAAGACAATGAGGTGAATTGAGAAAGCTTGCTTTCTGTTCTTGCAAAGGCATCGTGCTTCATTACAATTGCAGTAATTACAACATTCTCGTCCAACTATAGATTCTACAAGTTTCGTATACGACTAGGGTGGGTGGGTGGGGAGTGGAACTGCAAGTTCCAAATGAAGACGTGGGTGGAGGCCAAATGGCCTCCAACCCTCGTTATGTACTCGGCGAATTGTAATTCGCCGTTGCCTTGCTGCGATACAGTCAACTGCGCTTTCACAATATGAATAATTTAGAAATAAATTTCTAAATTTAATGATTGTGACAAGCAGGGCCTCAGTTATCAGGATAATTTATCCTGATTCTCCTGAATTCAGGACAGGCGTCGTGTGCTAGTCCTGGAAAAACAGCATAACAGGAATAATTGTCCTGCAATTTCAGTATAACGGTTATTTTGCGTACTGAAAACTCAGGATAAGGCTGTAGGTTCAGCTCTGATGAGTCAGGATAGTGTCGAATCTCGCTCTGAGGCGAGATGTACTGTAAGAAAAATCTCCTGGGTCTTGGGGCCTAAAATATGAACGGGCGAGCACCTCCACATAGAAGCCAGCGGGAATTGAGCAGGAGACCTTTAAAACCAGGGTGCACATTCAACGCGGTTCGGCTTGAGATGTTGGGAAGGGGGTTTGGAGAAAAACAGTGATTGGCTCACGAGGGGCGACAAAAAAATGATTCCGCTAGAGCTTCGGGCATTTCGTAGGTGGCGGGAGGGGGTGAAATGGCGGGAGTGGGTGAAACCGAATGGCGGGAGGGATGAAACAGATTGGCGGGAGGGGGGGGAATCGAAATTGCGGGGGAGGGGGGAAACAAAATTGCGGGGGAGGGGGGAAACGAATTTCGACGTGGAGGGGGAAATGAAATTGCGGGGGCGTGGGGAAACGAAATTGCGGGGGAGGGGGGAAACGAATTTCGACTTGAAGGGGTTGAAAGCACACCTCGTAACCCACTCAGTCAAGGGATAACCTTTGATGCACATTCAGCTGAATGTGCACCCCGGTTTTAACGTATCGCATTGTCACTTAACCCGCTACGACACTTCACCTATCGCTAGTTGTAGCACAAAAAAATATATGGATACTACTAAATGTAGCGCTGGCATTTCAGGATACCTCACCCTGTGCAGCCCTGCCAATTCAGGGCAAATTCTGATTTCCTAAAAACTGCCCTGAGGCCTCAGTGTACCCCCAAACGAATCTGAGGCCCTGGTGACAAGATTCGGAAAGGGGGGAATGCAATAAGGAGGCATTCCCCTCTTATCCCTCGGCAGGTCCACAGACCTGTCACCTAGTCTCATTTCATCCATCTCAGTTTGAGTTGGCACACATTCTCTCTTATGCCTAGATCTCAACCCTAAACCCTACTTAGCAACGTTTTAACTGCCAGACTTAACAACATGGCGAGCGGATTTGTTTCCGCAATTAACGGTCGTCCCCCTCCTGCTCGCATTAACACCCGGAGCTCGTCAAGGCGTGGGTCACCAAGGCGAGACGATGATCGAATTTCTACTTCCAGGAGGGATCGTTCTCGTTCGCCCAGAAACGAGTCTCGTGGAGGAGTCACGGCTCTCGATTTAATTGGTGCAGCGAATCGCGGGACCAATCGTCGGAACGAAGATCGCGCGCCAACCTCTCCGACGGGCGCCCGTAACAATCTCCCGCGCGAACCTGCAAGCACCACCAACGCAGGAGCAGGGACGCGCAATGACGGCACCCCTGCACCTCGCGCCAATCAGGAGGGACCGCCTGGATTTTTCAACCAGGTCAACCCCCCTCTCGCCACTGTACAAGCCCAGGGGCGCGTGCCAGGCCAGCAGGAGAGGCACGCGCAAGTGGAGCAGGGACCCGCGCCTCAGGCCCCTCAGGGGCGCGCGTCAGTCCGAGACAGGCACGCGCCTGAGGAGCACACGCCTCGCGCGCCTGCTGCACCAGCGCGCGTGGCGAATCTTTCGCCTGGCGAAAATTCACGGCGTCCGGCGCAGCAGAATCTCGACGAAATCGAGACGGCGCGTGCTGCTGCTCGTCCGGATTTCGCGGCGATGCTGGGAAATCTTGACCACACCACCCAAGCGAATCTTCTCCAGATTCTGGCGCAACTTTCAGGAGAGCCTACAAGACGCGTTATGGAGCGCCCCGTTTCGCCAGCGCCGGCGAACATTCGGGCCACACCTTCGCGGAGCGACCATATGGAGTATCGGAATAACGTCAACCCGCCGCACAACGTCAACGCGCTTCACCAAATGTCGGAGCTTCTTGCGATGCTCCAGCGCAATCACGCCAACGGCCGGCCTGCCCCTGCGGAGAACCATCGCCCAGCAACTCGCCAGGTCGAAGCCCCCGAGGCGGCCGAGGAAGAGGAGGACGGCGAACACGGCATTTTCGAGGAGATGAACGAAGGTAATGGCCCTCGCTCCCTCCCGCACGCTCATCCTCCACACTCCGCATCGGCTCTCATCCCCATCCCCCCATCACGTCCCCAACTGCGATCGGCGCTCGTTAAGAGCGAAGGAGTTCACACTCAAATGTTTGGTTTTGAAAGGATTCAAATTATTGCTCGTCACGCGTTGAGTGCTTTGCCCTCCGAAGGAAGCGAGCAAGCGGCTCTCTATATAAAAGAGATTGAGCAAGAGGCCGAGGAAAAGATTATGTTTTTATTCACCGCCGACCAACGCGGGTTTGATGTGGCAAATGTCGCTTTAAAGATTAAATATGGGGAGGTCGTTGAGGATAAGACGGTGAAATCCGCGGCTCAGATCGTGGCTGCAATGAAAAAGAGTCGCCCCAACCGTAACTCCTCCTTTCCCCAGCGCTTCAACCAGAATAACCGCGGCAGGGGTAACGGTGATCGTTCTTGGAACAAGTGGCGCCGCGACGGGGATGGACATTGCTTTTTATGCCGCGAGCCCGGCCACGGTATTGCTCAATGCCCCCAGCGCGAGCAAGGGGCGAACCAGCTTGCACGCATAGTCTAATTGGCGGTTTTGCATATCTTCAAGTGAAATGTCTTGTATGGCGGATGTGAAAAAAATTTTAAATGACATAAGCTACAAGATTGGAACATCATCTACAATTCTTTCACGAGCTTGGTAGGCTCATCTCTCCCATTCCTAGGGTCAGACTTTGATTAAAAAAAAAAAAAAAGCCTAAACCTAAACTCACCTGCATTTAATTGCTACCACCCACCCTCCAGGCACTCCAATGCGCCTCGCGCTTTCACATCCAATACACGCTCACATGCGCGGTCGGTTACGCGAATGCGTTACGTGGTGGTCCACATGGTGTGACAGCAGTTTCATACTGTCTGTCATCTCGCGCGGTTATCAGTTACCATGGGCAAGCACCGAGCCCGTACCTCGCCGTGCACCTAACCACCCGGGTGCGAGCCAGTATAGCGACTTCACCACAGAGGCAATTGCCGAGCTCGTAGCCACTGGCGCGGCTCGTGTCCTCCCGTCCCGAGCCAAGAATATATGTTCCAGTCCGCTAAACGTGGTTGTACAACCGACCAAGAAGCGGCTCATCCTTGACTTGAGGCACGTGAACAGTTTCTTGCGCACGTCTAAATTTCGCTACGAGGGATTGAACCGCATTCCCGATCTCGTCCAACAGGGTGACTGGTTATTCACAATTGACCTCAAATCCGGATACCATCATGTCGATATTCACCCTCGCTACTGGCATTTTCTTGGATTCTCTTTCCAC